CCTTATGTCGTCGTTAAGTCATGAGATTCGAATGATGATAGTGCTGTAACGATAGTTTTATGGAAAAAAAGTCAAGAGTTCTTTGGCGTGGATGGTAGAGGAGACGGGGAAAAGTAATTAATTGGATATAAAAAGAGCGGATTGTACCAATAATCCAGTTGGCACAAAAGAAGAAAAGAAAAGATAAGAAATTATCTGAACCAGCAGTGATGGATAGTGCACTGCACGTATCGTAGAGAATAATGACAAACTCGAAGGTTGGAAAAAGAACCCCAAGAGAATGTCACAAAGTCTCAAAAGACGGTTTACAAATATTATCGGAATGCATGATGTATAAGAAAGCACATTTGGCAAGGCGAATGTCTGGCCCACGCGCGGATTGACCAAGTCCGTCCTGGCAGGGTAACCTTGTGCGTGGAGGAAGAGGTGGGGGAGTAGTGCTAAACTAATATGGGCCACGCCGCCGCCACTCGAAGTGGGTTCCAACTCATTTACAATGGAGAGTATGAAAAGGTGGTGGTACCCAAGGAAAGACTTCTATCGAAAAGTGTTTGAACTCCCAGATCGAGTGGAGGACGCAATTAATTGCTTACAACGTGAGCGATATTCAAGGAAGATTCTGATTGAAGATGCTTATCACGATATTTCCATTACTAAGAGTGGTTTATCTGGCCAGACAAAATAGAGGAAACAGTCTTTGACAACTGAAGTATGAGAAGCTTGACTAGGTACCATTGAGGTTTCGACAGTGTCGCAAATGTTCGCTTAGGACCCTGACTACAAGGTCAAAGCAGTGTGGGTCAAGCAGTTCATGCAACAGAATGAATTGACCAATCAAGAAAGGTGATAGAAGCCAAGGGACCAAAGGATGAAAAAGATACTGGCAATTATCCATGATCCTCAACGTAGATGGTTCTGTAGAATATTCCATCGTCTTTAGGTTATGGGATTTTCTGGTTCGTGGACTCTAATAGGCTATAAATTGCCGATGGCATTGATTGAGTGGAACCCGAATTGGGACACTGGCCTTTTTGTGAACCGTTAGGAAAAGAGTGAACATTCCAGATTCAAGCATCAATCACCACGACCAGTACTTTTTGTCAACGACACTAAATGAGCAGTAATAAAGTCAAGAACAAGTAAAGCCGAACACTGTTCAACTCCTAAGGTCGCCCATACGCAACTCAAGTTTGCCATGAAATCACCAGACGGATTTTCGTGCAATATCGCAACCAACCTGACATCATCATACACATTTATTTCTGATGTAGCAAGGGTATGACGGACCCTTCATTGACTTGGAAACAAACAAGACGATATTGGTCGAGACATCGAATATCGGTCCTCAGAAGAATCGAAAGGTTCGTCCAGTAATCGCTAGAATGAGGCCTGACCTTGGAAGTTGGAAGCAAAGATCGAGGGGTGGAATATTCATGTGGCGTCCCCATGAAGCTCAAGGAGTATCAAGATGGCTAGGATGAAACCATTTCACTATTAATAATTAACGTGCTCTGAAGAATTCCCTAAAGACACGACGAACTGTGAGAACAAAACAGCACGACTAAGAGAATAATTCTGGTCATGTATCGCGTGTCTGTGGATATGTGAAGGGTTTGAAGTCGTGAGAATCGAATGATTGATTGATTGATTGTTGTTGAGTGATAACTCATGGTATCAAATTGTCTAGACGAAAAGGTACAGACTAGTCTTAGGTTAATCCAGCCTAGATATATTGTTCTTTATTCTCACGTGACTTAAACTCTTCCATCTAGGTTATCCTCGCATCAAATCGAGAGAATGGAAGAACTTCAATGGCGAAAATGATTATTTGGAGCTCGCAACCCGTTTCTAAGTTTTTGCGAGTTTCTCATCTTGTTACAAATTTCGTCCTTTCATCTCCACAAATCTTGAAGATAGAAGACGAGCCCCGATTTACATTCAAGCACACTGCAACCCGACGAACCAAGACCTTCACGGATACAGAAAGTGACATTGCCATGGAACTCGTCGCCTAAACACTTTCAATTATCTGACACTATAAGATGATATCTAGCGATCTATTATAGGAGTTCTAGATAACGACCTTTTCATATCTCCAGGGCTGACTTCCTTCTACTGCGCCACCATCAGAACCATGTTCCCCGTGAGATAGACCCCTAACAATTTTTCACCTGGGGTATATCCGTTCTTGTTACAGACAACAATTGTATCACACAATCAGAAATCCCCAGATAAGGTGAACTACTGTCCGAATCAACTTGTCTTGGAGGCTTGGTTGGACAGACTAGACACCTCCGATTCTCCGATTCAAAGCGACATATATTTGTTCTCGATCGTTGCCACTTTCCAGAATCATGACTTTCAATTACAATGTACAGAAGTATCCCTCTAGTTCTGTATAACATATGAAACTATGAAAGGTCACTACTGCATATCCTTAAGTTTGAGTACTTATGTAATGTATTCCAAGCTCGTGCATAAGATTCATGCTACCCCGTTATTTTAATCTATTCACTTCGCTAGCGAATCTCCTCGCACGTTTGATCGACTTTTCAGTGAAAATGCAATGGATTCTTTCTTCCCATGATTACATGCATAGCCCATCAGATAGTATACTAGTATTTACTTCTCCGATATGCAATCTAGAAGCCTGCTAGAGGCCCGCTCTTGTAGACCCTTGAACAGGTTTCCGAAGTCGGATGAAAACCGGAATCGATTTTGAGCTTATCGAGCCTCGCCCATTCTTAGCTATTCATCGCCACAAAATCACTCATAAAGTTTGTACATATTGCAATCTCGGGGTTTCGTTGTGCTTTTCTGCTCTAACAAAAGGGCTCTATTGCTTTTGAATTTTACAAATCCTGGCCTTGCATGCATACGTCAAATCAGTTCCTTGGGCCGCAAATATTTGATTCCCTGTATTCTAATATAAAATCACTATTGAATATAAGTTTTTCTTTCTTTGAGTACCGAAGCTCTTCTTAATATAGCGTCTAATAAGTGCCATATGACCTGTCATAACTAATTTCCCGAGCAGCCGGATTGCTATCTTCCGTGCTTAGAGTATTCAGATAAGTCCCTGGTTCTACCTTTAATCTCAGTCCCCTTTGAGATTACCAAAGATATGTCTCATATACTGAGAACTTGGCTAGGCGTAACCAGTATCTTCATCAATATTTCTGACAATCTAAGTGAACAAATTATGAATTATAATTTTTATAGAATTTGGATGTATTGAAAAATTGAAAAATTCTTATTAGCGAGCTATTTAGATGATATCAACTCCTCCGCCAACTCTTGAGCTTCTTCACTAGCGTTTGCGCCCTTAAACAAGCCCCTTCCTCTGCAAAGCTTCTACCTCCCACCGAATCTTTCCCTCCACTTTATTCTCTCCAAATTCAAGCTCATACAAACTCATATACTCGCGCGTCCCCTCTTTCTTATCCACCTCCAACCCCATCTTTAAGACCTCCAGAAAGCTGGGCAATATAGCCCTAATATCCCTCCCCATTGTATCCAAATAAACATTGCCTCTCCAAGAATCCCGAAATATTGATTAGATGATCTCGTCTCTTCTTCCTTACTCGATCCAATAGTCGCAATGTCAATTCTATTTCCCCGTTTGCAACTTGCTTCAGGGAGACTTCTTCTGGTAGGAATTAAAATCTGCTATCTGGAGCGCCGCAGTGAAGCACAAATGCACCAAAGGGATTCTCGAAAGGGACCACAGCATCTTTATGGCTGGTATATGCATCTTTATTCTTTAACTCTGGCTTAGATTCAATGAATATACCTAGCAGTATCTCAATAACAGCATTCTCAGGAACCTCAGCCTTTGTATCTAGCAAAGCAACAGCTAAGGGTTCTTTGGAGCGCAGTTGTGCGAAATAAGTCTTGGCGGATGTATGTGCGAAACTGGTAAATCACCAGCCAGAAAGCGAGAACTTGTATTCGAGACATCATTTTCTTTTTTCTTCCTCTGTCCAGCCATTGAGAAAATCATCTGCAGGCATGAATTTCATCAATATATCCCAGAATACTGATACTGACCTTAATATCGATGCATCGCCTCCCAGATCTTTTGTAATCAGATTATCGTTGAATTCCACATAAAGAATTTTCAACAGAGGTTTTCTTAGAGGTCAGCTTCTAGAATCATAATAATAATAATAATGATAATAGTATTCTAGTATTAGTGGAAGACTTAGTCACTTTAGCTTAAGGAATAAATCGAATATATATGAGAGTTGAATTGAAGTCAAATTATAAGAAAGAGCTTGAATGGATTTGAATTTGCTTGCTTTTTCTAGGTTTTCTTTGAAGAATATTCTAGGTTTGTATAATTTATAATTAAATTCTAGTAGCTTCTATGCTTCTAAATGAAATCGATTTGAATCGAATTTTATAGAATCATTTATATTATAAAAAGAAAGTACAGTTGATCAATTTAGTCTACTTTATTAATAATCTTCTATATGATTTTAATACATTCTATTTCATTATGGATCAATTTGATAAAAGATATAATAACATAATGATATAATAATATAATTTTATAATATAAAATCATATTCTATATGTATTAGTCATCAATATATCTCTTAATTAGTAAGATAATAATAAGTGATTTAGTATACTTATTATGGAATCTCATAGGTTTTATCCAGTCGCGGGATTTACCCATGTTTTTATAGAGCTTTTCAAGGAAAGTTGAGACGAATGAATGCACGAATGTAGTATTCTTCATATCCGTGATGGTCTCATCGGAGAATAAGTTCAGCGTTTTTCCGAAACGTAGGAGTTGCATAAAACCTGCGATAGAATAATTGATACACCAAGATGTCAAGCCTTCTCTTTGGAAATCTTGCGCCGCCCAAGTGAGAGCAAGCGGGTAGGTAGTCCACTCACCCAGTTCATCGAATGTTTCCTTACTCGCAGATGTTGAATTATGTTTTTCAGAAACCAAGTGATTGCATCTCTGCTATGTAGCATTTCTGCATCTATATTTCCTTTCTCATTGTCAAAGCCGGCATCAGCGTAGTTCTTGACCTCAGTGTACGATCCAAAATTATTGTAAATAATTGCCCCATAGCTGGAACGCCAATTTTGAGCCCAGCATTGAGCGCCTTATACAACTGCTGGTGAATGTACAGTCTGTTACTCCCAGTGTACTCTAGAGTGGGAACAACAGTGGAGAGTTCTTCTCCGTGAATAGAATGACCTGGTCTCGCTAGATATTTCCTGATCAGCAATCAAGCCCGCCGCACGGGATACGTCTTCGAGTTTGATCGTCAATTATCAGACCCTTTAGGCGACAAGGAATGATCGAAGTTCACTCAGCTTTCCGCGGGACTTGCAGGCTAGAAGCAGAGCATCGAGTGCTTCGTCGGCAAGGAGTAGATCAAGATCTTCATCCGAGATAACTCCCGCTCGAAGAAGCATGTCAATGTCCACCAAAGTAGGTTGAGAATTGTTGTGAGCCGCGTTCCATTCTTCGTCCAAATTAAGCTAAGCTAGTGCTAAAATTCTCGTTTCCGCTATTGGGACATGAATGTCCAACTTCGTGATCCTTTGAATCAGCTCTGCTTCGCTAGGGAGACTAGTTGATTTCTCCCACGCATCGTGATCTTCTGCTTGATCTAATGCTGTAAAAGCGCCTTTGCTGGCTATTACATAGATTCGGTTGCTTTCATAATCTTTGAATAGACAAAGTGCATTTGCACGGTTTGCATAGGATGTGATACCCATAGACATATTTGCATGATTTGGTGGATTTCTTGTATGCGACGTGATCAAAAACACCGTCGCGCAATCAAATACTCCCAGTTCTTGTCCTAGTCCCGCAAGCCGGTACACCTAGGAATCGGGAATCTCTCCATCCGTAAGTAAAAACCAAATATTGGAATCACGAATCGCTTGCATCGAATTTTGGTTCCTCAAAACATATTGTGGCTGCGTTACGCCCTGATCCTGAGCCTAGAAGCATTGTTCCCAATTCGTTGGGTCTTGACAGTTGCTACCCCATCTCGTGACTCTATCTTCATCTTTTCGATTAGAGTCTTCGTGGATTCCATTTGCAAATTATGTTTTGAGATGAATCGAATGCCAACTGTAGATCAAGAAGCATCGAGAGCGAAATACTTTCTGGCATTAGCAAATGAGGTGTATTCAATTTTCTCCTCGTCGCCTGCCTCGAGAACTACTTTCCATGAAGCCATATTTGATATATAGCTCTATCTTCAAGAATAAAACTGATTGTGAAATATGTAGATCAATGAAGATGACCATCAATTAAATACAAGTTAAATACATATTGATTTGAGTCAAGAATACAGACATTAGGAGTCAACCCCCAATTTACTGTGCCACCCCCACCAATTGATTCGCCCAATATCAATGAGTAACGCAAGTATCCCCGATTATATTTTCTAATCAATTTCGGCCAACGACAGAAAGGGGCGACTGGTGCAATTGTGGGCATAAGTCAACTACCCCACTTTCCGACCACCCCCTGTTTCCGACCACCTAAAAAATTCATATTATCTACACTTAAAACTTTAATAACTCAATAACTATTGAACTTCAATGAAATCGCCTGTAGAATCACTTTCTATAGCACTAGAGCTATCATCTACCTCATCTTCACGATCTCCAGCTTCAATTTGTGTACGCCTTATAGCTCTAATCCCTGCGAACTTCGAATTTGGAGATACCACAACCTTTCGCCTTTTTCTAGGTAATGCTTCATCTAATTGATATTCTAGCTTTCTAATCTTATTCTCTGCCTCTAAGAGTTCATAATCCTTAGCATCGAATCCTTTTATAATCTTGCGAAATAGTAATCTTCGTGTTGGCAAATCGATCTCCTTCTCTTGAATCATTATATCTCTATATTTTCTGATATCGGCTCCTTTTTGAGGGGTTTTCCATTGAATAAACGATGAATATATATTCCATTGAAGAATAGGATCATCATCAGATTCAGGATTAAGTGATAAAACCTCTCTATTGCTATTTTCAAGCAAAAGTCGACTCATAAGAGGTTTAGCCATATTTTTGGGCCAAAGACCACTAGCTTGCCACCCAGACTTGATATTTTGAATAGTTAAACCTTCTATTCTAGCCTTCTGATAGCAAGAAAGGAAATTGCGCTTTCCAATTGGTGAGGAATCGGATAATAGACTTAATTTATTAAGTTCGATTCGATATGCACTTTTTAGGGGTGAGAACACAGATAAATCGAGTGGTTGTAGTACGTGTGACGTATGTGGTGGGAGAAATAAGAGATATATGTTGTTATTAAAGCATTCTAACATAAATGCTGTAGTTTCATGGCTTCCGTGTCCGTCCAAAATGAGGAGTCTTGAATTTTCCGGCTGAATAGGGGTAGTTTGAGGGATATAGATCTTTTTCAGCCATTCTAAAGCTGTAGCATCTGTAGTCCATCCATTTTCTGTAGCGGTAAAGTTCCAACCCTTGAATAGAGTCAAATCTGTTGGAAACCATTGTTGTTGAACTGATTTTCCCTTATATATTACAAGGGGAGTAATGCTTTTTCCATTGGCTGAAATGCATTCTATAAAAGAGGTCCAAATTCGAGATCCAGGTTGCTTTTTTTGAATAAATCTTCGATCAGTGCTTCCTACTACTAGTCCATTAAGACCCTGACCCTCCATTATACCTGCTTCATCCATATTCCATCTGTTGGCCGGCTTAATAGCCTTGATTTCAGGGATTGCGAGGTTCCGGAACCACTTCTTAATAATATCAGATGTAGCACCTGAAACTCGTGCAGAATCGATTTGATGTTGCTTCTTAGTTCCAATATTAGGATGCCTTCGAAAAAAGCTATGTATCCATTTCTTTCCAAGTGAGGGATCCTCCCCTCGTACAATAAGGAGGTGCTCTGCCATCTCTCTGATTTGACGATGTGTAGGGCTAGTACCAAGAGCTTCCTGTACTAATATCCATTCTGCTAGTCGATTCTCCTGAATTGGAGATAACTTTTGAAGTATTTGGGCGCCTTTTTGATGCGAAACTCCACCATATATTCGATCGTGAAGTGTGGTACGTGGAACACCATAATCCAAGCTAGCTCTTCGTATGCTTGCTCCATTTGTAATCGCTCTAAGAGCCTCTGCGATATCTTCTTCGGTATATCTATTCTTCATATCACAATTATAATAATATCAAAATTTCAAATCAATTGATTAAAGCATTGTTGAGTTATTCAAAGTATAAATTTTATAATTACTTAAAGCGGTGTGGTTTTTGAGGTGGTCGAAAAGAGGGGGTGGTCGGAAAGTGGGGTAGTTGACTTATTGGTTCGTAGATCTTGGCGATCGGGAACATTGATCCCAAGAGCTTCAAATGCCACGGCACAACTTTGGAATTAATTTATGTTCACAATTATCACGGAATACTTTCTGAGATAATTTGTTGCCCTAGCCAAAACTTCTATGTGTGGATATATCTCGAGCATAAATCTACGTACAGAAGTACAGATTATATCCACTTGCGGAGAACAGTTCCGGCCTTCGTGGCAACAGATCATGACTTTCATGAGTACGTCTCCTGAACCAGCATAAAAAGTGAATTTGCTGAATTTAGACTACAATGATGACTCGTTATCTGAGGTATAACCAGTCTGACACTCATCATACAGATCAAGTGAGGCAAAAGCAATTTAAATGACAACATAGGAATCGACTGCTTTCCATTTTCCTTTCTCTACATATCACCTATCTCAAATCATACTCAGAATATTTTACGGACTCTTCAACTTTAGACGCATACTTTTAGAACTAATTTGAATGCACAGATCAGATCAGACTCCATCAAATAATCTGTTCATTTTGATAACAGATTTCGGATCCCTATTTGAATATTAAATTATGGATTCTATAAAATGTGCCTATTTTTAGTACATTTCATATATTTAATAAATCAAAAAGGTAAATTATCTCAAAATGATATCAAAAAACTCATATTTCCTTTAAAATTTATATAGAAAAATAAAAATACAGATTAAAAACAAGAGTTATTATTTTCAAACATATAAAAGATTCGCGAATTTATAAGCTGTTATAGATTTTTATAGTTTAAAACTTTAATAGATACAATTTAAAGCTTTAGATTATAAATACCTTAAGTTTTTAAAAAAAAAATTAAATTTTTTTTTAGATATTAAATTTGATTAGATAAAGCTATTCCTATATTTCTTCTAAATTGAAATAAAGTTGTTTTTATATTTGCTTATTCAATTGTTTAAACATTAATAGCAAATTGAAAATCGGATTTTTTTATATAAAGATTCATATATATACTCTACTTTTTTTTTTCTTTTGTATAGATTTTATATCGAAATCGATCTATAAATAAGAAAACGAAATATAGGAATTCGTTTTTTTGAAAACGAAAAAGTATTATTGTGGAATTCGTTATAACAAAAAAAGATAGATTATTTAACAAATTCTGATTGGAATTGATATTCAAATGAGCTTTTAATAACTTCCATTACAGTTTCTCAGGTAACATTAAAGATCGCACAGTCTATGACTTCACAATTGGTATAGGGGCTTGCAGGTGGATAAATCACTAATAATTTCCCTGTGGAATGTTAATCCATCCATCGATAAAGTCATTAGACCAACAACAGATACTCCATGAAGAACGAGATAGGGCGGTATTTGATTTCTTGCGGTGAACATCAATACTATGCAGCAGCTTGGCATCGCGACTATGCTCTTCACATAGTGACATCATTTCAAGATACTGGTATATCATAATGGCGGTTCGTAAAGTGCATCTCAGCATTCCAAGTGTAGCAATTTCATATACATCAGTGTCTATTCCATTGGATATTGATGTCAGTTCAGCTACAACCCCAGTAAGTCTTCCTGATTCCTGATAGTATATCATAGCGACAAATTCGAAAAATGAGCCAGCAACCTTCATTATCATTTGCTGAATCTGACTTGGCTCATAGTCAAATTTGAGTCAATCTACGGTGGGGGTAATTTTTTTTTTTCATCGCCATGGCCCTATGATTCTCTTTTTCTATCGTCTTGGAACTTACGAATTCAGATGATTCAACTTCATTGTTCGATAATCTCCAAAGCATACAGAAGAAATGACGAGCAAGTCACCGTCGAGCCGATCAATCCCACGATATGGGCTAGGTGCAAGGTGAATCGGCATTTGGATCGTTACTCTTGTGCTTTGGAAAAGATGGCTTGGACATGCAATATGCCATTCAGATAATCTGTGAAGAAATATCTCAGTAAGAGAACAATGAGCGGTCGCATCTAATGCGTAGATCTCGCGATGTGCTTCGAAATTTCTCAGAATGCAGATTCTCTGTATGCACAAACTATTTATGTTCCAGACAAACTTATGTTCCTGAAACAACGGGTGTACTTCATTGACTGATACTGTTAGGATTCAAATAAACATGAGTAAATGGAAAAAGCTACGGAAATTACTCAGCCAATGATATAGTACGCTAGGCAGAAAGGTAAGAGTGCCTATTGATGAACGTCTGTTCCCTTTCTCAGTAGCATGGGCTGATTCTTTGATACCTGCTTAAGCTTTATTAAGTGATTAATCATTTGCCTGATGCTGTCTTCGATGAGGTAAAGGGGTTGTTAGAGCTCGACCGGATACAGCACGAGCAGAGGGCTTGTTATAGCATTCCATTCGAATACCTCATACTTCATAAAGTCCAATGCCACCAGAAACAAGCGAGGGTAGCAGTAGACGATCAAATATGCCCCCTCCACCTCCTCCACAGCGAGTTCAATCTTTTGCCACTTCGTGTAAGCTAGTTGTCTATATGTTGTGGATGTGGTGAAAGATTTGACAGAACGGTTCCTGGCTGCTATTATTGTAATGCAAATATTTCCATGCGCTTGATGCCTGGAAGCCCGGACGCTCAGTGGGTTGAGCCTAAAGACAAAACATGTCCTTCAGGTATTTTTACGGGTACCGAGAATAGCCAGCAGTAAAAATAAGATGGTGGTATGGACTCTTGGTGTATTTTGAGAAACCCTCGTCCCTGATTCCATGGTTTGATGGAGCACACCTCTCATAATCTTATTTCATTTGATACTGCATTGAAAATGCACCCCTTGTCGTTGAAGTTTTCGAAAACCGCACAAACAACAAAAAGATACAGATATTGGATATTGGATATAGTTGCGCGAGCCCTTCCAGTAGGAATTAATTAGATGACAAGAGTGGAAAAGAGATACGGTGCACTGTCCGCAAGACTGAGGATACAGATAGATAATATACACGTTGCTTTTACGAAGTCTTCTTTCCAAATACTTAATCATCAAGATTTACTCCACTTGACCTCAGTGATCAGCAAGTTAATACTTTAATCGATTGCAAAGTAGTACGAAATTGAGAAATAGACTACTGCAAGTCACGAATACCATTTTCCTTGGTAGTCCAGACTGTTTTGAGCTTAGACCGCACATCAGAAAATGCTAGTATGAAACTTAAAATCAACTACTCTTTACTAAGATGGATAGTAGAACACTTGGTAAGTATTCACGTCATTTGTAACTGCTGGTTTATTTTCTCGCAATTACCAGCTATTACATACTGTGAGATTCTATAATAAGTATACTAAATCACTTATTAATATCTTACTAATCAAGCTATATATATATTAATAATATAAGTATAATATGATTTTATATTATAAAATTATATTATTATATTATGATATAGCTATATCTCTTATCAAATTGATTTATAATGAAATAGAATAAGATGAAATCATATGGAAGATTGTTAATAAATTAACTAAATTGATTGGTTGTATTTTTCTTTTATAATATAAAATGATTCTATAAGATTCGATTTAAATCGATCTTATTTATAAGCATAGAAACTACTAGAATTTCATTATAAACTATATAAACCTAGGATATTCTTTAAAGAAAACCTAGGAAAAGCAAGCAAATTCAGCTCAATTAAGCTCTTTCTTATAATTTGTCTTCAATTCAACTCTTATATTATATTCGATTCGTCCTTCAAGCTAGAGTGACTAAGTCTTCCACTATTACTAGAATATTATTATTATTATTATATTCTGGAAAATTACCTCCAATACATACAGGTTACAAATTTGAAAGTTCGAACATCTCGAGAGTCGAGATTGAGGGATATCAGGCACCCCTTCCGTGTATGTTTTGGAACCTAGAACCAGCAACTTCCCCATGTCTGGACCTGAAGACAATCTAAGAAAGCAATGTAGACATCGAGCTTGAAGTTACGTAACGTATATGATAGATAGTTCATGAAACTGAGAGGGTGACTATCGTAGTTAGTATGCTGACTATCTAATAAGGCAATGAGAAAAGTTTTGTACTGAAAATTTCCCTATAGTTAACTTTAATCCTGGAAAGTTGTCATAATTAGTATGTTTAAGGCTTCCAATGAACCTCTTGGTAAGAAAAATTTTGCGTTTTTGTTCTAGTGTCATTTTCATTATCTTATTCTCTTTTCTAGTTCTAGGATATCTGACGTCAAGATCCAGTGTCCTCAGCCCATACTAAATTAGAGACTTCTAGTGCACCCATCTTATCTATTATACTAGTAAATTGGGGAGATACAACGAAGAATCAATCAAGATACAGTTTGAGTAGCTCCAACACTAGGGAGGTAGTTTAATTAGTTTTAGGACACATGCATCGATTCATTTTATTATATATATCATTATCTCCCTCTCCCTTCACTGTTCTTCTTATTATTTCACTTATTTGGTTTCGTTTTCAGCATCTACTCAAGATGGCTTCAAATTCAACTCCTTGGATGAACACCTCGTCTTGGTCGCCTAGTCGAACAAGTACTAAAAATCCCTTTGATGATAGTAATGAAGATCCATTTGATGACATGCACGCAACGCCTCTACAAGATATTGAAACTAGTACCACTGCACGCCTGTCCAGCGAAACGCAACAAAGAGATGCAGCTGATCAATCCGGTGCTCTCTCAGAAGAGGAACGTATAATTGAGGACATTCGAAATGAGCGGTCAGTATTTTGACATCTACTGAGATATTAACAACCCTTAAATATTCATGCTAACACTCATGCTAGTCTGTCATGTGAAATTTGTTTAGAACCCGTACGCTTTGCAAAGGATCGTTACTTGTGGAATTGCAAGTCTTGCCATGCTGTTACTCACCATCGATGTACGCTATTATGGGCCAAGGCAAAACCAGTTGGAAGGACCCTTGCTTGGAAATGTCCCAAATGTGAAAATATTGAACGATCGAGCCCCAAGGGAAAATGCTGGTGTGAAAAGGGTAGCCCATTACATGACCACCCTACCATCCCGAACGCGTGCTTTGATGGTGTTTGCGATAGTAGGTCAAAATGTGCCCATGGAAACAAGTCATCTTGCCGAAAGCCATGCCACCCAGGGCCATGCAAGTATGAATGTGGAAGGTGCGCAAATGATCGTTCGCCCAGCCCGCAGAATATGCATACTATTTGGGGTAGATTCAAAAGCAAGAGACTAAACTTCTGCACTATTTTCTGCAAGTCTATCCTCATTTTAGCTTTATTTGGGGGTATCTGTACCTTTATCGCCTTTCACATTAAGTGGCATACACAACCATACTTATATCCTCGTTTTAAAGGCAGTCTTTATTTTGTAGAATCACTTTGTTTACTTGTGGTTGGAATATTCTACTTCCTTTTCGGAGGATCATACTGCATTAACTGCTTAAGTGGGGGGACGAAGTTCTTCCTGGAGATACTCAACGGCATTCCGGGACAGACTGGATACAAATTTAGATTTTTACGAGCAGTTATAGGAGGGGTCTTATTAACGTGCTGTATTTTGGGACTGTATATCACGCCAGTCATTGGGTATGTAGACTAACCCTCTTCATATTAGTTATTATTGGAATTCGACTGATGTTTGCTACATTTAGAATCGTTGGTGGTCCAGACATACAATGGTATAATCAGATGAAGGACTCTTGCCATGGGTTTAACACCCGGGTCGAGATAGGTACTCGTTTCGCAGCGTCAACATACACTCTCCACAGTCTCAATGCCTCTATCGACAATCAAACCTTCTACCTCGCTCCCGTACTTGCACCAAAATTTGGTAGCAAAGAGCCTTATCAATACTTTCATCGTTTCTCTGGTAACACAACCAATACTGCAAATTTTGCTATCGATGTTGATGTAGATAATGGTGTCTGGCGCGAAGTGCATTTCGATGGAACCGATGAGCTCACGAGATGGTGGGCTAGCGGCCGAAAACAATACCCTTCAGTCCATCCTGTCTTTGATAACATCACTACGATTGAAAGTGCAACCAAGCTCAATGGTACTTTCGTAATACGCGACGGTCACCTCTGGATGCCCGATTTCGATTTGATAATTCAAGGATTAGAAGATTCGCGCAAGCATGCCGAAATCGAACCTTTCATTCGTGTGTTCGACACACAGGGTCTTCCTCACTCACGAACTGAAAAGCTGCTGAGTCCCAAGTGGAACTGGAACAATAGATACGACCCGAATATCGTAATGCGTACAGCAAGTTCTGGTCATGGCAGGCAGAGATTGGATATGTGTATAAAAGAAAACTTTTATTACGCCTCCAGCGGAGCACAGCAAAAGCTTGATGGCGTAAGTGATGGATCCATTATGCCATTGGCTGTTATTGCCGCTTTCAGAATGAGAATGAATGAGATGTACGCATTGAAATCCGGGAGACCTTTCAATACCAAAAAATATTCGGAGTATGATGACGTTAAGCGTATAGCATAGGTAGCATAGGTCAATAGTTCTATCCATAGCACTAATATAATCATTACTTAAAGAGAACATCAATTCCATTACATCTCATAACTGAGCTGCTTCTCAGCTAATGATAATTTTTTACCTATTACTTCTTTGACTTGAGATTAGTATGATAGCGGATTCACTTCCATAACATTTCGTGCATTGATCAGTCAATTAACACCTAAAATCGTCTCTAACCACCATCTAGACTTGAATACCTATTCGTTAGGCCATCTTCATTTTTTCTAGGGTTCTTTGATGGCTTAATGATATTGGAAAGAATCAAAGGGAATTATCAAGGAGCAAGATCTTGTAATCGCCTCATATTTTCCCCTGAAGAGGACCCTGCTTTATGATATTCAAGTATCTCATGTAATTATATTGAAACTGTGAGGTTTAAGATCTCATAATATTTCACCGAGGAACTAGATTCCAATCTAGTACTTAAATCTAGAAAAAACGAATCAAAAATGAGATATTGTTTCGTAACGAAATTGTAAACTAATGTGGAATTGCTATCAGAAAAAAAAGTTCACAAGCTGCCATACGCTTCCAGAGATCTTGATATAAGATTACAACACAGCCACACGTAATTAATAACGAAGCGAGAGTGCACTCGAAAACAATAGTGCAATGCACATGCTTCTTTTAAATTGAAAAATCATATCTCAATTAATACTTCCTCGTGCCTTGATTCTTCAAAAAGTCTTGTAAAGTAACCTGACGAGTCGCAGATAATAAAATTATCATCTCGGTAGATTGTCCCCTTGCAAGGTTCTGTAAACTCCTTTGGTACCATTTCGTCAGTGAACTCAAATTCGTGAGTACCGCATTCTTTTCCTAATTCTGCTAATAAACGTTTGAAATCATATGGCAGCTTCTGGTATGCATTTTCCTGTTCCTTCAAGTATGAATTTGTCGATATTTTTTCCCCATGTAGGCGCTCGTTCAATGCGGCTTGGATGCCTCGTTGACACCATCTTGTTAACGGACCAATTCTCCGAGAACTGAAGTCTGACTCCTCAGTCTTCTCTTCGAACTCCTTTAGCTCATTACTGAGATTTTCCATGGCAGTTTTATCACCCGCGAAAAGATATTTTGTCAAACAAGTTTGTAAACAACCGATTTTGTCTCCCTGCATGTCTGCTTGTATGTGCGACAATTCGTTTAGTACTTCTGAAGGTGACTCAGATGTGTAAAACATTTCTTGCAAATATTGTACTACCAGAGAGTAATCGCCATTCTTACGAGAAATCTCTAACCCCAGCGTAAGCAAGTTCTCCGGTGTGCTTCGAGACTGCCTTTTCCAGTGCACGGGGGTTAAATTATGAGGGCTTAATGGGACGTAGATTGGCAGATTAGAAGTGAATATAACAGCCCCTTGAGATTGCTTTATGTACTTATAATCTGGAGTTTGGCGTGGATTGGACGGTAGTTCTCTCGCTAGTCTTTGGGTGGCCAAAGCCCATTTTAAATAGGGGCTCGTTTGAACGTTCTCTGGGTTGCTCAGACTGAGCGAAATTGCGAACTGGTTGGTATGAGCCATGGCTTGATTTACGATCTTCGTGATCGAAGGATCATGTTGACTGCTGTGCGATAGTAATTGAAGCGAGATAGTCACTAATAAGTCAAGGAGGGCTAAGTCTGTAGACTCGTCGCCATGGGAACGGTGTGTCCAGTCAAACACAAAATGGAACCAGCCACTGAATTCTAATTTGTCTGGTTTCGGAATGTTCTTGGAGGCTGCCTGTTGCCGACTTTTGAAAAATAGTGTAATGGCATCTGCAACTCCATATCTGGAACAAAGAGCCAGGAAAAGGTCTCGCATGTCCCATATTCTGTTAGTCGAGAGAAGATGCTTGTACAAACTGTGCCAGTTTAACGAACTATCTATTATACTTTCTGGATCTTGATGGGCATCTTCTGGTAGCTTTGTGTACTTCACTAGTTCGGAATCAAGCCGGACTATATTACAAAGCAATTGTACCTACAGATTAATCAAACAAAACTCAACACTCAGCGAAATGAACTGACCTGAATTGAATCAAGGTTCTCAAATTTGCCAGTGACTTCAATTGGACTTCATCAGTCTCCACATTTTTCATTTCACCATCGAGCAGGTAGCCAAAAGCACGCCGTTTTCCCAACTCAAACACAGAACGCAAATACTGACTAGGAATCTGTCCACAGTCGCTCAACTGCTTCACCAAAGTCGAGTCTTTATCTTTAGCAAATTTCACCAAAGTCTCGTAGGCACCCTGCTTCAGTAGAGTATCCACAAAGTCTAGAACAAATTCTGGATGATCTTTCAAGTCCGATGGACAAGATTCGAAAAGATCTTTGGCGGCATCGAATTTACCCTTCCTCGTAAGACGAGAAAAATCTTCCAGGTATGCCTCAAGATCATATTCACAGTCAAAAGTGACTTCCATACTTCCTGTGGAACCTGGAGTCTCGGCTAAAATCAATGTCTCTCCTTCTGATATCGGTGCAGGCAGAGGTTTTTCTTCGCGAGATCTAAACCCACTTTCGGTATCGCCTGCTGTGATTGGTGGGCAATTGTGCTGAGAATCTTCCACCCATTTAGTTTGAGGCTGAGAACTTTTACTCTCAGGTTGTCGTTCAGTATATTCATCATTGCCGATGTGTAATACTTCCGACATTTTGAAAGGTCTATGCTTTCACACTCACAGTATATTAGATATACCTTCAATTATTGCATCCAAATAATTGATGTGTTTAGGTAGAGCTAAGAGAGGAAGGATAATTAGGCTGCGCAACGGGTACCCGCAGGGCGGATAATAACCTCGACAGATAATTCGCGAATAATCCGTCTACAAAACAAATAATTCAGAATCTAGACAGATAGCCTATAAATAATTTACAAATTATTTATAAATAATTCGTTACAATATAAAATAAAATAAAATAAGATAAAATTAGAGATATAAAATAATTAATATATTATACTAATCTTTATGTTAATCGTTTTACTTATAATTATATATTTATTATATATTATTATATATTATTAAAAGAAGTAGAAATTATTATATAAATAATATTATTATAGAATATTACCAAATAATAATATTATTAATTATATGATTTTTTTAATAATATTATTAATAAATCAGATTATTTTATTTAATATTAGAATTATTTTTATTACTATATATTTTCAATATATTTAAATATAAATTATAATTCCTTATTAATATAAAAGTAATTCATTATTATTTTCTATAAATAGTATACAAGCATTATATCCTTTACTTGAATAATTACTTGTTTTATATAAATAATATACAAGTTTATTATTAATGATTATTAACTTTTTATTAATAAATAAATATAAAAATCTACTTTCAAATTTAATTATTATAGTAGATTCTATAGCTTTTTATAAAGTCTTTAAGATTGAACTTTGAATTCGAAAGAAACTATAATTGTATATAATTTCTTTTATTAATTAATTAAATAATAATTTCGAAATAAAAAGTTCTATCGATTTTTAATATTGTTGAATTTCTTGAAGTATAACAATTACATATATTTTAAAGTTTTATATTAATCATTATACTAATCATTTAATTTTTTATCAGATTTAAATTTCCTTTTCTTTTTGTTTATATTATAAATATATGATTTTTTAGTTTGTAATTATATTTTTATATTATTTAAAGTAAGTTGAATTATATCTAACTTTAAAAGAGGTATATTACGTTTTGCTAAAAGATTAATAGCTATTTAAAAATAAATCAGAGTGATTTAGCTTATTAATATCGATTATAGTGTAAATAGCTTAGGAATATTAATGAAAAAAGAATAGGCTGAAATATGAATATAACAAATCAAAGATTGGAAAAAGTAATATTTAAATGAGAATTAAACCCTCATTCTAAAAGTAAGCAAATATACATTTAATACCTTTTTTATTTCAAAGACTTTAATTTATTTCAAGCCTTTTCAATCCTTAATATTAAATTTAATCTTTATACTAATCTTTATATTAATAATTCAATATACCTTCTAAATATAAAGCTTTTATTAAATTATCTAATAACTCTTATATTATTAAAGCTCGAAATCAATTAAATAATCGAAATAAATTTAAGATTTAAATTAAAAAAGCTAAAATAAGCGATTAAGCAGTAATTACTTATCAATTAAATACTATTTATTAATCAAATAAATAAATCCAAGTAAATAAGCTTAAACAAGTTTATATAAAAGAGTAGATCAAGAATAAAATGATTTATAAATAATAAACTAAAATAAGCTTATTTTTTCCTTATTAATATTAATTTTAATTTTATTAAAAAGGTAACAGGTGTTTATATATCAATTATTATATAAAAATTAGATTATGAAGATAAGGGAGATTAATTTGTATAAGTTTATAATAAAAATAATAATTTTGAAGATTGTAAAAAAGACAATAAGGTTTTTTAAGAGTGAATGTAGAGAGATAATGATGAATATAATGAAGAAAGGTTTATTGATTTTAAAGGAAATAAAGACGAGTAAAAGTAAGAGCTTTTTGTTTATAATATTAAAATATATTGATTTTTATAACTATTTTTTTTTTTTAATTTATTATTTAGAAATATTAAAATCTTAAGTTTCGTTTTTGATAAAAAGCTTAAAAGTAGGTAATAAAAAGCTTTTAGAGAAAGTATAATAAATTAAATTTGAAAGAGATTGATTATTTAATCTCTTTAGGGTCTTATATCAATTATAAAACTAAATAAATTAATCGTCTTTTATATTAATCTTTATATTAATTATTAATTATTGTATAATAAATATTATGAGATTATTTTACTTTATAAATTCTTTACCTTTTATAAATTGATATTATAGCGAAATCTCTATATAACTTTTAATATTAAATATATAAAAAAAGATTTAAATTAGATATAGCTATTAGACCCTAATAAGTAATATATAGAGAGCTATAATCTCAAATAATATAGATTTTATAATCTATTAGAAAAAAATAAGGAATTATATAAAGGTATATTACTTCTATTAATATATTCTAAAGATTTTATTTCTCAAGATTATTAATATATTAATTTGATATATAATAAGTTTTATTTAATAATTAATATAAAACTACTTTTTAAATTTAATATATAAATAATTTATTAATTTTAATATTAATAATATTAATTCTTATTATATTAATAAATAAAGTTATAATAATATATACCTTTATTATTCTTTATTTAAAATAATTACTTTAAATTTAAGATTAATTAGTAATCTTTATAATACTAATCTTCAAAATGATTTTTCTATTGAAAAGAATATTTCAATAAAAGTTTTTATTTTGTTTCTTTTAATTATAAGTTTTAATTAAACTTATTTTTTTCAAATTGGATATTAAACAACCGTTTTTATGATAATAATGACAATTATTATGGTATATATTTAAAGTTTTAAATAATATTAATCCTTATAAAATGATTAGTTAAAAGGGGGATAAAAAAGTATGAATATGGAAATCTTTTTAATAAAGGGCTAGAATCTCAAATAAAAAATCTAATATAATTTATTGAATCTATAAGAATATATTTATTTATTTTAATATTTGAGGCAAAAATATAGGAATTATATCTTTAATTAATTATCTAAAATCTAAAATATATAAAAGAATTATAGATTTTATATAAAATTCTTTATTATTTGAAATAAATTGTTTTAATTAATATAAAGATTAATATAAATATTAATTTAATTAATAATATTTATTAAAAACTTTCACAAAAAAAGAATTTAATAATTAAATACTTTTTATTATTATTTCTTTAAAAGCTTTTTTTTAAACTATAAAAGATTCCTAATAAAAAACTTTATATTCAATATAAAATCCACTTTTTTTATTATTTTTAACAATAACATTTCGAAATCGCTTTAATAAATATATTCTTTTTTTTAAATCTATTATGTTAATTTACTTCTCTAATCGCTTAAAATATATAATTACTTTAGATTACTAATTAAATTCAATAAAATTTTTATTTATAAATATCAATTATTACTTTATTAATTAAAATTAAAATATAGAATATATTCTTGTTAATTTTGAATTTATTTATAAATTTTATACTAATTAATAACTTAAAGATATTTTTCTAAATGTTTTATAAAAGTTTAATATTATTAAAAGAATTTATGTAATAATTATAAATAATACTTCGAATAATATAACCCTACTTATAAGAATAAACAACATTTTTAAAACCTTAATATTTAACAATTTGATTTTTAATAATAAAATAATACAAATCTCTTATTTATTTTATTGAATTTATTTAATTTTAAAGAATTTATTTTCTATAATTTATATCAACCCTACTAATAATAAGCTTTAATACAATTAGAAAGAATAATAAAAGAAAGTTAATCTTATAGCTATTAGGCATAATATTCAATATATTTTAATTATACTAATCTTAAAACAAATATAATAAACTACTATCAAAATCAATATAAGCTTAATTTATTACAAAAGATTTAATTTTTTTTAATTAAAATCTAAAAAAAAGCTTTTATATTTAATTCAAAATGTTATAATTTAATGGAATTTAATCTATTTAATATTTATTCGATTGTTACATTTATGATATATATATAATTGATACATTACTATAACCCCTAATATAATAATATTCAATTTAAATTATAATAAGTAAATATAATATAAATATATTATGAATATTATTTTATTATTCTATTATTTTATTAATAATATTAATGAGATTAAGGACTTTATTATTACATATATATTTTAAATCTATAAAGAACTTTTTGAAAAATTTAAAGAATATAATTAATGTTTACAAACTTTAAGCTATAATTGAATTCAATTACTTCAAACTAATATTCAAATTGTAATTAAAAAGCTAACAAAATATTATAAATAAATCTTTAAAAAACAAAATAATATTTTAGTATTTGCTATAATATTAAACCTTATATTTAAATTATTTTAATTTTAAAAAGAATACTCTTAAATCCAATTTAATATAATTGATTAAAAATAAAATATAAGCAATATTTTATTGATTTTTTTAATAAAAATTATAAAGTATTAATCATTTTAATAATAATAATTATTTCTAATAATAATAATGAATTTGCCATATTTTTCAGCTTTTTATTCTTAAAAAATCAATAAATTGATTCAAAAGTGAATCGTTATTTCTCTATAGGTATATATTGATTATACTAATCTTTATATTAATCGATTTTTATTTACTAATAAAATATTTTTAGATTTTTCTTATAAAATCTTTTTATTTTATTAGAAAAGAAATGAAAATCTATTTCCTAATTTTATATAAATAATAAGAGATATTCTTTATATTCTTTTTACTAAAACCTTTATTAAAAAAATGTTTAATCTTAATAAAGATATATATAGCTTTTAACAAGAACATTTAAATTATAATACTATTTATAATTTAATATTACTTTTATATTATTTGAAGTATAAAGTAAATAAAAAAGATTTAATTATTGAAGAGCTTAATTATATTATTATGATAAATAAGCTTTTTAATTAAGAAATTCAAGAGGAATAAAAAAGTTGAAAAAGAGTTATAAAAAAGCATATGGATTTATAGTATCTTTTTAATGTGAAATCTAATTTATTAAAATGATCTAATAGAATTTAATGGAATAAAGATTGAAATAAAAGAAAACGGTCTTCAACTTTAACTAGCTTATTATTATTAATATTACTTTATTGTCAATATCAATTATTATCTTAATTATTACCTTATCTTTATAATTTTAAATTATATTTATAATCTATTATTATATTATAATTCAGAAAAGCATTAATTATCCATGAAACTTTTCCTTCCCCTTAAATTAATAATAATATAAAGGTTATAAAAAATAAAGAATATCAATTACTACCCCTTATTTGATTATAATCATATAATAAAACTCAGTAAATTTAATATAAAAACCTTAGAAATAATTAAAATAAATTAAAATTAAAATTTATTTTACATTTATTAATAAATAAATAAATAAACTTCAAATTTCATTTTATTATAAAAAAGGGTTTATAATATTTCTTATTACAATATATTTATTATAACTTTATTAAAAAATAATAAAGTTAATTAAATTATATTCTTATCTGATTTTGCCTACCTTTTAATAATTCTAATCCTATAGCTTGAAAATCATTATTAAAAATGAGTACTAATAATAAGCTTTGAATAATTCATAAATAATTAATATACTTTATACATTTTACATTTTTATATTAATATTTATATTAATCATAAATATTATGTACGGGTTATTTGTAGATTATTTGCAGATAATCCGTAAGTTATTTATACAGAGTGGGTAATTTTAAAGTTTCAATAAATAATCTGTAGAGTGAATAGAATCTTTAACGGATAACCTGTGGAGCGGATTATCTGCAGATAATTCATGGGTACAGATAATTTGTGCGTAGCCTAAGGATAATACAGGTGCAATACAAAGAATTGAGGTTAACCGAGCGGGGTAAGACAATAATAATAATAAAACAGAAACATTTACTTTTCTGGACACTTTCTTTGTTTTCGAAAAAGACCTGCATCTGAATACCATAGAAAAAAATTCATTTTGTTCCTGGGTCTGATTTTCTCTCCTTCTCTCCTATTCCCAGTGGAATATAATCCTATTTCCTGTCGACTTACTATTCAGTATTCATCACCACAATTTAACAGAGAATAAGGAGATGGTGAAGAATTGGACTTTGATCTATAATGTCACGTATAGTTTGAATCTCCTTTTCTCGCCCTTTTTTTCATTAAGGGATATCAGATTAAGTGTTTTCCAATCATACCATCATTGATCACGCATGAAAGAATCAATGGCCGAAGACCCAGTGTAAAGCAAAGTTCATTATTCATCTATATTCTCAGTCGTGCGGGAGGCGCATTAAACCTCATGCATTCTATCTATTCCATCAAGGTGATCAGCACACCTGGCATCTATGGTATCGTGCGACCCGCACAACAAAACTTTCTTCATTTATTTCTCTCCATCAGGGCGATCAGCACGCCTAACTTCCAATACCTCTCTATCTTCCTATTTTCGAAAGCCCCGACCGTATCTAATCACGCTAGCGACGGCTACGCTCCTTTCCTTTTCTCGAAGGGCGGCTACCAGAGGCAGTACTGTCACGAGGAGCTGGTGTTCTCTCTTGATTTTGTGGCTCGGCAGTAATTATGTTTTGCTCGCTTGTGTTAACACCACCGTAGGATTCATCCGTCCTCTCGTTTTCGTGGTCATATTGTTGACCACCAGCTGCATAGCCGGGATCTACGCTTCGACCGGATTGAGATGGATATTGATCATACCCGCTAGCTTGATAGCCACTTGTACCGCTTGTATCGTAGACGGAAGGCTGATCTCTTTTATAGGGATTATTTCCACTGCCACTGGGTTGATAATTTGATTGTCCACAATAGTCAGCTCCATAGCCGCTTGTACTACCTTGATCATAACTAGTGGGATTATCTGGGTATCTGCTTCCACTAGCTTGAGTGGTAGGTTGATAATATCCACTATCTGCATGGCCTGTATCATGAACAGGGCGTTGATTTTGTGCATAGTAATGAGTTCCACTTCCACTGGCTATTGCTTTCTTCCTGGTGTCGGCGACAACTCTGATGGACGTGGTGCACGTGAAGGAACTGGTGGTGACCGTGGTGCTCGTGAGCCCCTTGAGCCCTGTGGTCTTTTTGACATAACTGAACTTATGGCGTCGTTGATACGGCCCTTCTAATGACACTACACGCAACCGAAAAAGATGGCAGATGATTTGAAGGATCTGGATATGTGCTTTTAAACGTCGCAGTGAGTACAGAACAAGAGGTAGGAGTCGTAACAAGCGGTCAATAATCTAGAACATTAAAGGGGACGAGCTTCAGCCGTGAGATGGTTGACCCGTATGTAGAACAGATATTATATATTGCGATGGATTTTCGCTGATCTGGGGTTTGTTTGAATTTCTTGATGATAACCTAAACCAGGAGGGATATATCGAGTATACTTAACTACATAGAATTAATTTCGACGTTCTCAAAGATGACTAAATTGAGATCAAAATGGAGGATATTTTGAATGTGAGTGTTTGTTTTGATTCGTAATGGTGATTCAAAAAGGTGTTATGATTCGAAACATTCATTCTGATGGAAAAAAATTCATGAAATTCGGTAGATAATTTATATTGAAGAGATCAATTCATCACTACTGATTTCAAATATTCATTTCGGAGCAAAAGCAATCATTGTGACTGGAAACATCGATCCATTCATTTTCAAAGATACTTTCAGAATAAAATCATACATTTGACTGAAATGAATTTTCCTAACCTTGTGAAAATCATGTTCGTTCTGACTCGAAAAAATTCATCATTTATATGCAAAGAGATAATTGTTGAAAGACAATCATTGTTGTGAGTTCGAATGATCATTTCCAACCATAATGAATCATTGAATACCTAGGTAAACTTGTGATTATTCGTTCTGACTGGGAATTGATTTCTTGCCCCGACTCAACGGAATCATATTGAATCGAATATCCCACCATCCATTTCAAATAATACCTTGCGATAGACTCATCGATCTCATTTATAATGTCCATTTTCATACAAACATGTTTGCTTCGACAAGAAAATATTCAATGCGCCAACACTAAATGATCATTCCAGCTCATTTCAAAGTCTTAATAACAATAAAGCATCAAATTCGAACAGAGATTTGAATTCTCTGATGACAACAAGGGCGTCAAGCATATTAACAATAATTTTGTTACTTGATGGAAGCGTCAAATAGAATAGCACTACTGTTGTGGAAGACATTATCTTATTAACAAGGTCGGTATGAAAAGAATACTATCATGTCTTTCAATCTTGCCAGCCGTTTTGCTAGAAACCCTCGGATTTGTATTTTAATAACTTCTATCCTCTCCTCTCTTAGAACAGAGAATAGGGTAACTGACCAGAAGTTGGAAAGTGTAATGAAATGGGTTGATATCAAGACAACTTGACAGGATGAGTAGTATGATTGATTCGAATTTCAAATATGGGATAAGATGAAATAGCAAAAAATACATCTCAAAATCAAGGAATAGGAGAATACCTCCGCGAGAGATACCTAATCATAATGAATATCGACATCCTCTCGACCTAGGAGAGGAAATTGATTATCATAGATCGAAGGATAAATCATAGCAAACAACAGGATAGAATAGGACGGAAGAAGGTAATGAGATAATTTGGTAACTCTAGAAGTTTTTAGTCTCGTCTTCGCTTGTGATCCCTTATAACGATCCCCGGCCCCTTTCCCGCTCCATCTCGTCAATATCGGCTCTTTTAGCCTGCTGTGCTGCAGAGACATTTTTTCCCAAGGATCGTGCAGTTTTCTTCCCTTTTGCCCTTTTATCTCTTTCACTTGACTATATTCTTTCCTCTGATTCATCAGAGTTTAACTTGACACAGCAAGAGGTAAGACGGAGTCAAAAAGAAAAAACACTTCTTATATTTATATTCATGTTCATTTTCGGATCTCGCGTTTTTTCACGCGTTTCTCTCGTGCCTCATGTTCATGTCATCCCATCTTGAATCATCAATTCTTTCCCTGCACCATGCTCTCAAATTTCCACCTTCCACCCTTTCTCTCTTCTCTCATTCTATTCTCTCTTACTGACCCCTCTAATCCTGCGACAGGGGATTGATTCCTTTCCCCTCCCCTTTCTCTCCTCCAATCTTCTCCCCGGAAGGTGTAGCCAGCCCACTACCTCCCAAAGCTGGCGTTCCGATCCCTGAGAAGGGACTTTGAACGCCCGAAGGAGCAGTAGATGGTGGAACAGGAATTCTAATATCTTCTGGGGAGCCCGGAATAATTTCCGGTGCGAGTCCATCGATATGAATACGTTTTGCTTCGTTTTGGTAGGAAGCAGGGATTATCTATTCACAATAATTAGTATGTTTTTGAAGGTGTTGAAAAGAGCATCCCAACGACGACAAAATTACGGAAAGGGTAGCTGATGTAGTCAGGAGAGGGGAAAGGATGCAAGGAAATGGTGGATTTGGTGGAGTTGGAGACAGCAGATGAGGAAACCGAAAAATGAATACCTCAATAATTTCATTTCTAGGAAACTTAAGCGTAGGGATGTTCATGGCATCACAAGCCATAAGATAACCATAAAGAACCCTCAATACAGATTCATGAGCGATAATCAGCAAGTCATTTTGTTCTCTCTCGAGCTCGAGAATGATTGGCTCCATGCGGACTGCGAGGTCATGGTATGACTATCGCTTTCGTTAGCTCCTTTGCTTACTAAAAGGTGTGGAAGTTCAAAGAATTTTGGAGGTGGAATGTTGAAGTCAAAGGGCGAGGGGCATGTGAAAAGAAGAGAGAACACATACCTCAGCACGCGGGTATCTATGATGATAAGGATCCAACTCATGCATCTTGACCTCGTCGGGATACAGTCTCTTCATCGCCTTCTCACTCAACTTCTCACAAATTCCCGGATTCAACTGACTCATTTGACTTCTCTGTCTGACTCTAAATCCCTTCCCTTTGAGATACTCTGCGGTCTCTACTGTTCTTTTTCTAGTCGAAGACCAAACTGTTAGTGGCTTAAGAGGTGCATCAGAACCACCTGCTGCGATAGAAGCTGCTCTTTCCTCTTCACGATGTTTGAGTAATGCATCGGACATTTTCTTCGCATATTCTCGACCTTCATCAGAGAGTGGTGCATCGGCTTTGTAGGAATCATCGAGACTAGATGTGCCTGCACGAGCGAAAAATGTTTGACGGGATTTAATATGAAGATTCATGAGGTAGAAGACGATCCGATGGGAAAGATAGCCAAAACTGACGTTATTATAATCAATGCGCTCGCCAGCATTGATCATCTTAACATAGTTGAGGTCAGGTTCAGTCATAGTTTCGAAATGAGGAATTTTCATGTCAATCCTCTTGAGATAAAGTTTGGCAGCATCCTCAGGATCCATGCCAACAAACTGCGATTGTGGTATCTTAGCATCATCCTGGTACTTCCAACACTCTGAAGGGAGCTTTACATCTGGAGATGATATTTTGACACTTCGCGCATTCTCCTGAAGTATCTTTTCATCTGTAACATATGATTCAAGGAACAATGTCTAAAACAAGGATTAGCGAGTGTATATTGAGGATGAAATCGTTGTTGTGTCGGCATACCTGGACATCATGCTTAGCAAACTCTTTTGCAAGAGACCTGCGACCACCAGAAAGTGGATTGACAGCATCATAGATAGCAACTTGACCATTTTCATGATTGAGCCAGGCATAAATATCTTCACGGCACTTCTTGAGAATCTTTTGTCTAAGCATAACTGAAGCAGCAGATGCATTGATAAAGAAGTAGTCATCAGGGACATCCTGACCTGGACCCATTGTAGCACGACGGTAATCTCCTAGATGGAAGATTCTTGTCTTAACACCCAGCCTGAAAATAATTAGCAGAGAAGAGATGTGCAGCATGAGATAAAAACTTACCATTGTAAATAACGCGAAAGAGAGACAGAGATATGTCTGTGGGAGAGTAATCAGTCAGTGGAATTGCATCTAAACCCGCACTTAGACTCATTTAGAGGGACAACTAACGTTTTTCCACGTGCAGGAAGACCAACTAGGACGATAGCGATTCTTCCAGAATGGAAAAGTCTACCTGACTCGGTTGAATACAATTGAGCCGGGGCCATAGTGGCCTTCTCATCTGGCAAATCATGAACTCCATCGATGAAAGTTGAAGATCTTCGACGAAAACGAGGAGAATTGGCCGCAATTTCCGCAGTTCTAAGCTCATGGTCAGTCTCAGTAAACAAGGCATCGGCGAGCTCGAGTCTCGCCATGATAGTGCTAATAGAGCGTTTAGAAGAAATAGTAGTAGTGACTGTGGTTGGGAAGAGGAGGCCGTTGTGACTTCCAACGACGGTTGAAGGAAAGCCCAGAGTTGAAGGAGTAAATAAGGAAAGAGAAGTGGTGCACCATAATCATCTCAAGGCTCCCTGGATCTTAAACGAGGGGTTAAAAGTGAAATAGCAAAAAATCATAACCACTCACAATAAAGTATCCATCTTTCTGGATTTTCCAACAAGGTGGTTCTCGGAGAAGCAACTCTTCAATCTTAATCTGTTGTGATCGGTCTTGATCCAAAAACCTCAAATACTCTGAAATTGGACAGATGAAGTGAATGTACTGTAATCCCGCAATAACTCGTGACTCTTGCTTCCTTCCCTTTAGATCACTCTTTTCCGTTCTTTAGTGATCGCGTGACCCCAAGATCAAATCCCGTATATTGTGTGATATCGAGACTACCTTTCCGTGTACAGAGCGCCTTTTAAATCCTCGTTTTTCCGGAAGAATAGAGACGAGCAAGTGCAATGAACCGTACACGCGTTAGTGGATTCGCTCTGGTTAAAGTATTGAGGCAAAGCTTTGGTCAATGTCTGTCTCACGCAGCCTCTAGCTAGTTACTCCACCAGTTGCTCTCGTGAATATACCCGGACTTCCTTTCAAAACTTCTCGGCGCTCGGTAGTTTCAGATATCAGTCGGTAATCTTGTGCAATGAACTCTTTTCAACCGCCCACCGTATGTTTTGATCGATAGCACGAAATCTATCAATACCAAATGTCTGTGGTTGTATGAGCTTTCAAAGGCTGGAGGACGAAAATGCGGTTCGTGATTGTCCTGCTTTAGCTTCAGCTAAGATTATCAAGATAAGTGGTAGATCAAAGATTAGTCAAATAATGCATTCGTTTGACCAATCATACAGAAAGGTTTTTGAGAAAATTCACTTCGGGTGCACGGGTTGAAGCGGGTTGAATTTATTCATGCCTGGATTTAGAATTGATGCCTCATCCAGAACAACCTGTTAGTATTTCAGCTCAATTCACTTCAATTTTGTTGATTATATTGTAAGAACTTCGTTTTCATGGACATTCAATCATATCCTATCTTTTATACACAGCTAGGTATCTACAGTGACAAATACTATCATGCCTCCCTCCCATCATCATCGCTGCAAAATCGAATCACTATAATACAGAAGTACTCATCCTCATATAACATCTCCCTCATGATATCTCATGCATCATCCATGCCCAAGTTTTGCATCAACCTATCCGCTATCTTTAACAAAAGCACTCGCAATGCTTTCCATTCCTAACCGAATTCCAGATATGCTGCGCCAACAACGCAGGCTCCCGAGAACATGAGGTATAAAGAAAGTCTATGATATGACAGAAGAAAAGAAAAAGGTTGGATCATCATCTTTTGGTTCGGACATGCATGCAGAAATGTACCTCTTCTTCCAGCAGTAGAACAAGACGA